GATGAGGTGGGCTTCATGGCGTGGCTCCTGTAGTCACCCACCTTCTCCTCCCCAGCATAAGGAGGGCAGAGCTGTGAGCGCTGACGCTGGGTGAACTGTTGATCCCCAGCTGAGCCTTGCTGGCATAGATGTGTGTTTGGACAAGTGTGGGCAAGAGAGCTTCACATGTTCTAACAGCATTTTTGCATCCTCCCCTTATCTGTGAACTCTGGGATTGTTTCTCTAGGCCTAAGGAGTTGTCTCGTGGCAGTCTCTCACCTGAGCTTAGTGCGTTTATATGGGGGGGGAGGGTGGGGCAAAAATATGAGTTAACTGTGACTGGGTAGTATGACTTCTCTTGAGTCCTTGTCTGGAGCATGAGACATGCTCCAGGTGTGATGTGGTAGAGTGCTGGGTTTGCTGTCTCTTGGAAGCTCTAATACAAGCTGTTCAATAGCTGTAAGACAATATTTATGCATGTGAACACAGGTAAATCTGGATCCAAAATCCAGAGCACACCAACAAAGGCTGGGGGTGATCGCTACATTCCCAACCGCAGCACTATGCAGATGGACATGGCAAATTTCCTCCTAACCAAAGAGAATGACGCTGCTGAGGAATCACCTACCAAGAAGGTGAGCATATTGCTAAGTTACAATTACTACAGTGATTACTATCAAACACCTAATCCTTCGTGGCCTTTTACAGATAACTTATGAACTGTAAGTACTATGAAGTGGGCACATAGGGTTGACAGTCCCAGCCACCACTGCCTCCAGCTCTGGGCTTTAAGAGTCTCAGGTGGATGCTGTGGAGCCTGCAGAAGGAACAGCCACTTAGCTGCTACACAGGAGCCTGAGCATAGTTGCTCTACAGAGCTGTCTCCCTAGACACAGGGGAGATCACAGTCTTACACTACTGCTTCCACTCACTAGCCTGTGCTGCTTCTGGTAGCAAAATTCAGCTTTGGGCTAATGAGGTTTTAAAATGTAGCAGGCTGCTACAAAGACACAAAGCCTTGAATCTGCACAGAGAAACTGCTGGTGGTGCTATTCTAGGACAATGTCTGCATGGGAGCTATTCTGGAATGTGTACGCTGTGTTCTGAAAACTGTTTATGAAGCATTTGGTCCCTTGGGGCTGTGGCTTTCCCCACTGGCAACAAGACACTGAACTGGCCACTCTTGTGTATGAAACTGTTGAGCTGGACAGTGTGCCTGTCTGAGTAAAAACTCCTTTGACCTGCCTGCCTGCAGATGACTCCCATGGCACAGTTTTACACCTCCTGGTTTTAGGAGAAAGGGGCTTGGGTATATGCCTGCCAGCTGCAGTTTTAGGTGCAGTATGGACTTTGTGTTTCAAATGCATCTCACTGAGGGTGGTTTGTCTCTGTAGGAGCAACAGAAAGCCTGGGCAGTGAATCTGAATGGTTTTGATATAGAAGAGGCAAAGATCCTCCGCCTCAGTGGAAAGCCACAGAATGCTCCAGAAGGTATGACACAGGGTTTGTGTGAGTTGACTCGGCTGGAGGGATCTGGGCAGAGGAGCAGCAACACAGAGGCCTTGTGTGTGGACATGGAAGAGATCAACTGGCTGTTTCTCAGGGCTCCTATGCAAACTGGAGTCCCCCTTTTTAGGGTTCTTGAGGTTGGGGGGTGGCATAAGTTACAGTGAATTTATTTACAGAAGTTGAAATGAGTGTTAATTGCTCACTTGTACAGCAGGTGGCAAAGCATCCTGAGGTCTGCAAAAGCTTCAAACTCTGCTGTGCACTTTGTAGCTTAACTGTCACTAGATATAATGGGATACAGAAAGCCAAGTGCTAGTCAAATAAACTCAGTTTTGTGAGTTATGGG